CTATGTGAAACTCGTGACTTTAATCTATCATAACAGGTTTCCAATACGTGTCATTCTTTATACTAGCTTATAGGACTAGACCGTAATTCTCGAGTATATAACACTCACGTGACCGACCAACACACTCTAAGAGTCGTTCTCAGGATAAATTCGTCTATTATGGGTGTAATTTTTCATAACTTACAAAAGTAGCATCAGTCAATCCAATCCACATCCGGTTTTCGCATGGCGTTCCTTGTAACTTAGAGATAAAGTTGTTTTCTTCACCGCTATGAACACTGGCAAGATCAGCACCGTATGTCATGCAAATGTCCTGGGCATCTTTCCAAGTTTGGAGAGCACTGAAGAAACGGTAGCAGTATGGGTCCGTTTCAAATCTGTACCAGTACCGGGGACAATCCTCTGTGAAATGTAAACAATACATTTTATGCAGAATATTGGATGGGATTGGTCACTTCTTGCGTTATTATTAGACTATATGCAGGTTTTACTAATATTTTATTTCGAAATACCTCATTAACGTCGTCATTTTGTTCCTCTTGTGTTGTTAAAGCGTAACTATAGTGATAACTGTCAACAGTGTGCAATATATTGTTGTTGCCAACAGTACTACCCAGTACTTTATCGTATCATCGCAACGAGCCTTTAACTGTCATAACTTTGAAAAATATTTTAAATTTAGTACATTGCCTTTTTAAATTCAGATGTGCAAATGACAATTTTCAAACGTCGAACGACAAACGTCTTTAGTTGGAATTAATCGTCTTTGAAAAGACACTTTAGCCGTTTTGTATGAAGTTTATTTTCACTGACGTTAGATGAGTTAAATGTAAAATATAGACAGATATTGTAATTTCACTGGTTCTCCCCTTGAGCGAAAATACTAAATCCAAGAGAAAATTAAGCGATTTACAGTACGTAAGCCAATTGCGACAACAGCAAGTCAATACATTAAGTTGTACTTGTTAGATGCCAAAGTGCACCGATGACTAATTAGTAGTAAAGAAAGGCACACCAAAGAAAAAGAATCCATGCGTACTTACGACCATGCACCATCGCCAGACCAACAACAACAAGAAAAGTACATAATCGTAACATGATTCTGCTGTAATGAAAATACACGACAATATTACGTAATTTATTGTTTTCTATGGGAGACATTAATTTCCGACACTCTTATTGAAAACGGAAATGACGACATGACTGGTATTTTGAAAGACACCATATGACATGGTTTGAAACCTGTTAATGATGTAAATAAATGACACAATTGAAAAAAAAAGTGAAACCATAGTCCTGTTCAATATGCCCCCCCCCCGCGAAGTATATAACGCCTATACGAATACATGTTTAGAATACACGTGTTACAAGAAAATTCGAACACCCGCCGCGCGAGCAATGTGACACTAAAACAATGCACACTTTGTAAACACAAACAATTCGACTTCAACAAATATTAACATTATTCGAGGAATGTATTTACACTAATCGGCAATGTTGTGACTTTTTGAGTTACGCTTCAACCAAATTCGAATGTGTCAATCTAATGGCTACGTCGTTGAAGATTTCTCTCCTACCTGACACGGTTATTTCACACCGGCGTAGAACTGCAATAGTTGCAAATATGTATGCCGTAAAAAAACGATATCTCGTTGCGTAAATTTTCCGTTATCAACAGGTGTCTATATCACACATTCGTCAAGATAAAATTAATATTTGCACTTGATATCAAATGAGTCAATTGTTTATTTCTTCGGTTGTACGCCACTCGTTCCGACACATACGCCCCCATGCAGCTTCGTCACCTACGCCCCCCCCTACTTGATAAACTTAAAGCGGGGGAGTCGTCACCTGCGCATGCGTCAGATGGCCGTAGCGTGTCATTGTTTATAAACAATCGTCTTTGCGTTTTTAGCGTGTGTTGTTATCGTCGCTTGGGACTCAATTCCCGCGCGTGCGCAGGTGACGACCCTCCCTCTTTAATCTAAAGAACTTCAACGGAGGGGATTATGAATTTTATGGTGCCATGATTCGTGACATTCTTCTTTAAATGCAATGCATTATGGGAGACAAACACCCCGGGGGTTCACTCTATTTTAAAACCTTACACCATGTGCAGTACATTGGCAAACCATACCCCTATTGTGGACGCAATATAAATTTAGTACCCCCTAGAGCAGACTTATTTGGAAGTGGCGGGAAAGTCTCGGTGGGAAAGTTCGGGCGGACGTTTGGGGCCTCTCCGGGGCTATGGGTCCGCCGATTCGGGGCCTAGGGTGGTGTATGGGTGTGGTTGTTGCAAGAGAGGACCTACAGCGGGCGCAGCAAACCTGTGGGGTTATTCTTGGGGGCCTGTTGCAGACATTAGCATTTAAAGGGGGGGTCTATTTGCCTCCCGCGCGTGCCCGCTTTAGAAGGTGAAAAACACCACCGTTCGAGTGCCGCTAAATTTGGAACGCCCATGGGGTTGTAACGGAACATAGGATGACCCCCCGGTCCAACCGCCCATTGTATAAACGGAAAACTATTGTCACTCTGGAAACTCACTAAATTATATGTCAATTGTTGAAATGTTTTCACAATATATCACAGAGCAAATTCTGAGATATAAAGTAAAATGCCTCACAATAGAAGCCAATGCAAAAATGCAAATTTTGCATGACATTTCAGACACATGCATATTGAAAAATGTTTCGGTTACCCCAGTGTTTGTTTTCATTTTCCGAAGATATGAACCTATATTAATGAAAGTGTGACATTATTAATTTGGCTCGAATCTCTGTAATATATCTTCGACGCAAATATTCGAGTGCGATAGAGTCGCGAGACTTGTTTCCCCCTCACATTGTGGTTCATTCTCTCGCGTCCACTATACCTTGGAAAAATGGACGTCACAATGGCGAGAGAAAATGGAACACGTGGTTATCTCACAACGGGATCTTGGCGGCCATTTTGTTCAAGATCTATTAACACGTGTCACATATGCTCTCTATTGAAAGGAATTTTATTACTAGCAGTACGAAACTGATCAAGGCTGAGGAAGTATTCGAAAAGATTCGGAGCCGGATCATAAATACAAAAGAAACATTCTGAATTAGAGATAACTTGATCTTTAATTATTTATTCATTATACACCACTAAAAGACGTACAAAATTAAATTTATTGTGTAATTGTGTTTCCACAAAACGATACGGGTAATGAATGTCTGTGTCGTAGTTGACAGTTTACATAGACGATATCTCGAATTGTCTGCTTTAATACACGGCGTTCTGCTTGCATACGAATGGTTGCACATCCGTACAGACCTCATCGTTCCACCGCCAATCTGTAATAACAATACATAGACGTAAAAACGCTCATCTAACATTCACATTAACCCTGTTAATAACAAAGTCGATATATGAGGCTTTCGACACACGCAGATAATTTGCGTCAATTTCATTCAAATTTAACGAAGAAATTAAACAAAATTATACAAAAACATGCAAAATGATTTGGGTGGAGCTATGTCATTCAATGTGTGTTCTATTAATTCCATATTCCGTAATGTAATAATCTACGTATGTGACAATTATTTAATAACAACTTCGAATGAAAAGAGGTAATCATAACTCATAAAACAAACAAACGTTAACTACTGTCATGATTTACAGTTCAACTGTCTGGAGGTATACATAGAGCTGACTCATGTAGTATACGTAGACAAGATACTAGGGTGCACGCTTTGTTGCACCACGGAATTACACGTATTAAAATCAGATCTAATTGTTGTTGTTTTTCTGAAAACTATTTTAAAATTATTTTTTTAGTAATTGTCTGATCACGAAAGCCCAAAAATCTGAGCATATGAGATCTCGTTCAACTCGCTCTTCAGCACACCTCAGTAACCAATTGACTGACTAAAATAAAAAAAATGAATATTTGAAAAAAATAAAGAAGGGAAACACAATTTGATTTGATCAATTTGAAATTGGGTCGAGCAATTACATATACCTATGCCTGAGACTGAAATATGTAAATTAAACGTTCTAATCAATAAAGATGATTCACGATATAACTCCTAATGTTATTGCTATAATCGTGTACTATCACGTGTTTTTTGCACTCACAGTCACTCTTACTTCCGTCCATCTCCACACAGTTCTCTCCACCAATCAACCCACTTTCGTTCGGCTCTCCGTCGTGCCAGT